CATTTTTTCCTCTCACCCTGTACACTAAGGTGACTCTAATGTGCAGCCAGGGCTGAGATTCACTGATATAAATTGTTTGAGTGTGCAACTTTTGGTCTAGACTCTAGGCCTTGGGTCCCAGCTGTACCACTTGCTCTGCATCACTGGCCAGGAGGGGTTGTTTGGTAATGAGTGTTGGTCTAGCCTTGACCTCTGGGCATGGAGGACTTTGAAGGACTCTGTCCCTTTGGGACTTTGAGGGATGGGCAATGACCATGAGAAAGGGGTATCCAATATCCGGGCCTCTGGCCATCTTTTAATCACTTTCCACTAGAGACACGATTAAGCCAGTCTGTTCTTCTCTGAGATCATTTCTCAGCTTTCCTTTGGATTTGCCTACCCTCGTGTCTGGCCCCCATGGGCTAAGAGCCTGGAAGCTTAGGTCACTTGTTTATGTATTCATCCTCTTTCTACTGGTAGCCCCAAGTCTCCTATTTCTTAAGTATAGCAGGGTCAGCATTACTCACATGTAGATAAGGTTCCATCCTAACTTCCCCCATGCCTGAAATTCTACCATCGGAGATACAACCCATTCATCTATGGCTCTGATCTCTTTAAGCAATTAAGTTTATCGATCATTCACACACATCCATGTGATTGATTTTTCCTAAGCTGTTTTTCTGGAGATCTGATCTGTGATGAACACCCAGCTGGCTGAAGCTTTATCAAAGCCCAGATTAGAAGCACAGGTTGGGAAGGGGTTGCTGTTGGTATTGTGGGCTCCTGTGGGGCCCATCAGTGGCAAAGACTGAGGCCACCCAAGGGGTGGATGTGGAAGAAGAACAGCTGCCCCTTCCCCATCCCTCCCCTACCCCGACTCCACTTGCCTCCCACGATCTTGGTTGTCTGGGAGAAGGTCTGCACGTGGGTGGTGGAGCTGGAGAACTCCATGGACACGTGCTCCTGGTGCATCTGCTGGTGGTGAATGGTTGTCATGGTGACAGCAGGCGTGGGCACTCACCTGTGAGGACCGGGAGAGGATGAGGACATGAGGGACAAGAGAGGGAGTAGGAGGGAGATTCAGAGATGTTACGTGTGTGTGCAGACACCACTGGTCAGGAGGGGTGGAGTGCACAGGAGAGGCCAGGAGAGCAGCTAAGCAGCAAGCCTCTACTCTCTGGCCTCTCTTCTTCACTCCCTACCTCCATTTCTCTGGTTGGTTACAAGAAGCAATGGGCAGGCTGGGGGCGGTGGCTCAATACTGTAATCCCAGCATTTTGGGAGGCTGAGGTGAGAGGATTGCCAGAGCCTATGGGTTTGAAACCAGCCTGGGTAACTTGGTGAGACCTCATCTCTACAATAAATAAAATAATTAGCCGGGTGTGGTAGTGTGTACCTGTAGTTCTGGCTATTTGGAAGGATTTCCTGAGCCCAGCAGGATGCTGGGGTGGCTGTGGCATGCCACCGCACTCCAGCCTGGGCGACGGAGTGAGACTCCAACTCAAAGAAAAAAAAAGAACCAATGGGCCTGTTCCCTCACCAAATAACCCAAACTGTTCCAAGGTCTTGGAGGGAGAGGATATAGGGCTGAGACTTACCCAATCAACCAGGTAATACCCAGAGAGTCCAGAGGGGTATCGATTGATAGCTATATGGAACTAGGGAGGCAGTGGTAGATATTTCATCAGGAGGGAATGCAATCAGACCTAAGAAAGAACTAAGTTATACTGAAGTGGGTCTTAGAAGAAAGCTATGGATTTTCTTCCTGGACCCTGGGGACAGCTTGCATTGAAGGAATGCCAAGACAGATGACAACGCATTGCTACAGCTCTGCTTTTGTTGTGACATAGTAAAGGCAGAGGTTTCGTTTTTATTTATAATAATTTATTTATTCATGTATTTTGAGTTGGAGTCTCACTCTGTCCACCAGGATGCAGTGCAGTGGTATGATCACTGCTTACAGCCTTGACCTCCTGGGTTCAGGTGATTCTTCTGCCTCAGCCTCCCAGGCAGCTGAGGCTACAGGCGTGCCCCACCAAGCCTGGCTAATTTTAAAAATTTTTCTGTAGAGACCAGGTCTCGATATGTTAATCAGGCTGGTCTTGAACTCTTAGGTTCAAGCAATCCTTCTGCCTCGGCCTCCCAAAGTGCTGGGATTACAGGCCTAAGCCACTGCACCTGGCCTTCTTTATTTTTGAGACAGGGTCTCAGCTCTGTCACCCAGGCTGGTATGCAGTGGCACAATCACAGCTTACTGCAGCCTCGAACTCCTGGGCTTAAGTGATACTCCTGCCTTAGCCTCTCAAGTAGCTGGAACTACAGGGGCACACCAACGCACCTGGCTAATTTTTAAAAATTTTTTTGTAGAGCTGGAATCTCCCTACATTGTCCAGGCTAGTCTCGAACTCCTGGTGTAAAGAGAGCCTCCTGCCTTGGTCTAGTTTTCTTATATATATATATTTTGAACTGGTAATTTAATCGCATAGTTAAAAAAAGTAAAGGAATATGATAATCTGCATGAAGACGCTGTCTTCCCCTTCTGAGTCCCTCCCCATTGCAATAGGTAACCCTGTTGGTCTTAAGCTTCCTTCCAAAACTCCTTCTTGCAAATAGGAACACACTCTGTGTGTTCTTGTCCTCTTCCTCATTTTTTTTTTTTTTTACACATAAGGTAGCCTCTTATACACACTATTCTGCCCTTTTCTTTTCTCACTTAATACGTCTTGGAGATTTTCCCATACCTGTTCATAAAGAGTCTTCTCATTCTTGTTAACAGCCCCCTAGTATTTCAGTGAATGGATGTACCTGCCATTCAGTTTTTAAACCTCTATTTCTTTTTTTTTTTTTTGAGTTGGAGTCTCTCTCTGTCGCCCAGACTGGAGTGCAGTGGCTG